TGGGATACAGAGTCATACCTGTGACCGGTTTAGTTTTTTCCCTCCAGTCTAGTAGCCCGGCTTGAGATCAGGCAGGCAGTCATGGTGACCACCTTATCAGGTTTACCATTATACATTTCCCACTGCTTTGTTTACCGGCGGCGTCTTGGGAATTTCTTTGTGGTGACTTGTAAACCTCGTACTTGGAATGATCACCCTAAGCTTGCCGTTATATTTGGCAGTGGAGCGCACATTGGTTGTACAGAGGAAATACTTTCATAGGAGGAAACCCGAATCCTCTCGTTAAACTTTAGGTTATCCAGTGTATTTGCTTCGAAGATTCCACTTCTGACCTCCTGTGTAGCTTGCGACGTGCCGCGCATTGTTGACTATGTTTTAAAAGTGCCCACGTTTAGTCATTTTCACTTTCATTAAGATTTTTATAATTACCGTGGTGCCTGTAGAGACTTCCGGGAACTTTTAGGAGTCTCTTGACGTTAATATAGTTAGTTTAAATTGATATTGGTTATTTAACTTTGTATGATAGTATTTATATGTGTTGAATGTTTGTTCGTTGTTTTTGTTTAATTTTGTCCTTATTATATAAGTGGTTTAGAAAACAGACACGTTGATGAATGAGACATTCTGCAACACTTAGGTATCTTTGTGGAAATGTTTCACCGGCCAGTGTCTGTGGAGGAGTTTGGGGTAATCAGTCCCAAAACCTGGGGATGTATTCTGTCCACCAGTCTTGATAAAAGTACAGCATGCACAGAAAAGGGTCATATATACTGGAGACAGGCGAGGCGAAGCAGTTGGAAGAAGCTTCACTGGTGGACCAAAAACTTAGTGGAAGTAGGTCTTGCCAATAGGTTAGGCAGTGACGCTGCCTTCAACTGCTTTGTCACGACTAGATGACTCAAGAAATCGTAATGACACGATTGCAAATAAACCATACCCCCGGCCGGGATTGAACCCGCGGTTCAATCCCGGGTTCAATCCCGGCCGGGGGTATGGTTTGGTTTGGTTTGCTTTGTCACACTTGTCTCCAGTATGTAAGCTCCCCCCACCCCCTCCCCCTTCTCTGCATATGCTGTACTTTTATCACGACTGATGGACCAAACACATCTCCAGGTTGAGGGACTGATTACTTCGCTCTACTTCATATCTTCCACCGTTCTCTGTATTGTATTGATGAAGCCACTGACTGGTGAAACTTTTCCGGTCACCTGCCCCTTTTGAAAGGTCTCTTATCACAGAAAATGTGGAACTTTTACTTCTCTTGCTTTACTCTCGCGAAGTTCTTGGGCGCAGTTTTTCTTGTTTTTTTTTTTTTCCCTGTTTCGCTAGTTATTTTTTTATTTATTTATTTTTTTTTTTTTTTCAAAAATTTGTCTTCACTCACACGTGCTGAAAGACCAGAGATAAATGATCATGACATAACTTACTCAAGAGAGTCTTGACGTTGACCATCAAAAAAGAGGACATATGGAATCTGAATCTACAAAGGAGCCTAAGAGACAAGAGGAAAAATGCAAGTATAACGGTAGTCAGTAAGTAGTCAATTTAAAACGTACTGAAAACACTTAATATATTGATTCAAGATTATATATAACAAAATCTAGGGTTTAAAAAGAAAACATTACTGGTCTTAAGGCGGAGCCACAAGAGTTGCAGTTCATTTTGCCCGCTAAGTGTAAGAGCAGTTCCTCTGCTACCGAAGCTCAAGCATACACAAAGTATAATTTGATAAATAAACACGTTACTATACATGCGTATTTTTTCCAATATTCTGCCACACGTGTAATTTCCCCTAAATCGTTTTTAAAAATATATGCTCATAGGTGTTGGGTTAGAGACGAGATTTTGTTTTAAGCATCTCTGGTAGTATGATTTGTATGGAGATTCAATGACAAAATGCAAAGTGTGGTGGACACTGGACAGAGACAGGACCATACACTGGAAACGTTATATCTTAAGTGTCCAGACATCCCAACCTTCAGAGAGACTTCCATGCAAATCTTACAAGATACGCAAAACGTTTCATTGCTAATGATAATACATTTGAAATCTTGAGGTTGTATCCTCATTGTGCATCTACTGGATAAACTACTTTTATAGAGATTGCAATCTTATAACCAGTGTTTTTTAAGCGGTAGTGGTTATTTTTATTGTATTCCATACTACGTTGTGTACATCAGCGATATGAAGGAAATGTAAAACATGAAATGACTAATATTTCTTTCTAGTGATGTAACAGTGCCCAGCGGGGAAGGACACTCATTGTGGCCTTTATAATCCTGTTTTTTTCGGTATCGCTCACGAGATGAGCATGGGGTGCACAAACTAGTCACTCAGGCGGCACAACTAACTTTTAAGGTGCTATAAAATAAAACTCAAGACACGATTGAGGTCGGAGGTGCCTCTGTGATTAAGATGAAGTTGGAAGATTTAGGTTGGCACGGGGCCTCCAAGAGAGCACAAGGGTGTGATTGTGGGGGGGAGGGGTATAAGACACTCGCCAAGCTTGTTCAAGGTGGAGGTGCTTGCTCTGAAGGGGTGTGGAAATGTGTGCATGGTGGGTGGTGGTCAGCGTGTGGGGTGGAAGTTAAGTGGGTTGAGTAAGACGAGGGTAATAGTGGAGATGCACGTATCGTGTTGCTTCACACACCCACACACTGGCGTATGCACAAACTCGTGAACACGCAAGTGCATTACTTTTTCACACAAGACGGTCCCTATGTGTATAAATCGTATGTTCCATAATTTTCGAATTCAAAAGAGTGTACATGCATAAAAAAAAATCTGGGCCATCTCACGGACACTTGCACACAAGGACTGTATTGTTAACGGCCTCAGTTCCATCAACACCACTTTTTTAGTGCGTTGCCTTGTCCAAGATACAAGTCACTAGTTACATGGTCCTCATTACTTAATATATTGAAGCCTAACAAGTTGCTTGGGCCTGACGAGCAGCGCTGTATAGCCCTTGTGGCTTAGAGCTTCTTTTTGATTATAATAATAATTGGGCCTGACGAGCTGTTTGGTGTGCCACAGGGGTACTTACTATGACCCTTGTTCAGTCTACATAAACGAGATGAATGAATAAATGGTGACATAAGTCTGCTTAAATAGGCCGTCAGACAATTTCTGACGAGGACACCAGAAACCTACAGGATAGCCTGGATAGGGTGATGTGATCGGCAAAGTGGCAGATACAGTTCAATGCGAGCAAAATAAGCTATCCTTGGAAAATAAAACAACTATGGTACGCTGAGGGTTTATCGATTCTTTTTATAATAATAATAATAATAATAATAATAATAATAATAATAATAATAATAATAATAATAATAATATGGTTCGCTAAGTATTGTAGAGTATGGTCAAAGCTCTACATTATTTAGCAAAAAAGATTGTTTTGGTTAGGGGGAATTTAAAGCGAAGACAACAGTACATGAGAGTTCGTAATATGGCTAATAGGATTCTTGGCTATATATAAAGAAGTATAAATAATAGAGTCCTAAGGTTAAACTTTGTTTCTTTGTGAGAACTAATTTAGAATACGCTGCTCTGTTCTGGCCTCCGTATTACAGAATGACATAAATGTGTTGGAAAATATAGAGGACGAAGTTGATCCCGTGTATCGAAAACCTTTTTGAAGATAGGCTGGAGGTACTGAAATTTCACTAAAAAAAAAAACGTAAATTAAAGGGGGTACTATTGAAGTGTACAAATGGAAATGCGGAATGAAGGGGATATAGATAACGTGCTGACAATAAGATTTAGGAAAATACTGGTTTGACAATAGAATTGTGAATAACTGGATCACTCCCAGGCACCGTCACTGGGGCAAGAACTTTAGGTAGTTTTAAATAGAGGTTGGACGTGTGTGTGTTTGGTTGGGTGAATTGGACCTGGCTAGCATGGGACAATAGGCTTACTGCAGTGTTTATTCTTATGTTCTTCACATAAAGGTGAGATCGGTTAAAACAAATGGTTTACATTCGAAAATGTTTAAGGCATATATGAAGAAGCTAATGTAGGGCTTGTTTTTTTCTTTTTTAAAGAGTACATTATTTATTGTGCAAAACTTATTTTGAGAGATATTAGCAAAAATGATGCATTTTGGGATATGCAGCACCTCTGGGTCAATCAACAGTTAGTACAGACGCTTCTGATCAGTCATAGCGCATGTAAATAAAGACGAATCGAATGTCAACAAAGGCGCGCCAGTTCCACATCAACCGCTGGAGGAGTAAGGTTAAATTAATTAGATTATTTTAAGCTGGGATTCATTTCTTACATATCCATAATATTAAACAAAATTTGAGAAGATAGTGGTACCTGTAAATAAGGATGCTGTGTTTGTAAAGACTAGTAGATGAGGATACTGTAATTATAAAGGTAATGATACCTGTAAACAGGGATGCTATGAAGGTACTGATTCCTATAGAAAGATACCATAATTGCAGAGGTAGTATACATGTATGTTGATAACAGCCGGTGGGGTTGTTATCGCCAATGTCGTGTCAACTATTTGGACAGACATGTAGTCATTATTGCAGCATATTAACTAAGGATGTGTGGTGCTGCCCAATAAACTCCCTTCGGGGCAAAATCTGAAATATGCGTTTGATAAAGGATAAAACTAGGATGTCTGATGGAAATGGCTCAAAAGATAAGTAACGTTTAAACCATGAATTGGGCCGAGAGGATCTTGCAATAAATCAGTATTACAATGTGAAGATTATTAGACGTGTTAGTTTAATATGTTTATTATGCACCCCATATCCATCCTGTGGGCAGTAGTCAAAAGATTACAGAGGTACATAATGGGTCCAGGGACTGGGCCCCAAAGTTTGATAGCTGAGCAAGTTACAAAGGTAATGAATCAGTAGCAGCAAAAGATAAAATTGTTTTGCCCAATTGAAACGGTTTGGCTAAAACTGTATAAATTTCGGGTCATGATTTGCAGACGCTGTTACAGCAGAAATGTTGATGATACTTGCATGTTGCAGGGGTGCACCCACATGGAAGCCAGCCGTGACGCCCCTGGCCCAAGTGAAGACGACTCCAGAGGGCGTGCCCGTCGCCACCTCCACCTCTCTCGCTGCTAACAAGAAGGTAACACTTTCTCTACTCGCCGCCTCACTCGTTACCTAGAAGATAGGCCTCTTCACCTACCTCGATGACTTCCAAGCTACAAGCAAGCCTTTTCTCCTTCCTTCGATGCCTGACTATTATATAACCCTCTCTTTCCGACAAGATAACTTCAGTTCTCCCTTCCCCCTCCTCTTCCCCCCCCCAATTAATATTTTTTTCATCTCCGACTTAGCTTTATTTAGTATTCTTGTTCATTTTAATGACTAAAATGACCTATTTTACCCCATCGTTTTTTTTTATTGTTCCCAGGGTAGTCAGTCAGTTGTCATTTCTCATTGGGTTAATGAGACTTCGATAATACCTCAGAATGAGGATATTAAATATAATGCTAATGTGGAAAAATACTGGAGTACTTTGGTAAATATAATGTGTTTTAATTAAAGAAGATAACATTGTGGGTTGCAGGATAAGTGTCTTAAGTCTGTGAAAGTAATGCAGCCCTTTATTAATTTAATTATTATTACTTTATTAGTCACAGAAAGCGCTAAAGGTAACGCTGAACTAGTACAAGTGTCAGTGTCCTTTTCTACTGAAACTGTAGTGATAGGTTTGTGAAAACTTAGAATTGTGAAAGTAAACTGCTAAAGCTGTATATATATCCCAGTGCAACAAGTATTGTGTAAAGGATGTGTATGATAGGTAGCTGAGTTAAATGGTGACAAAAGTGATAACGGTTAACATAGTGTTGTACACGTGTCGTTCCTGCAGTAGCACCACCACCACGCCCTTCATCTTATGGTATCTCAAAAATCCATACTCGCTGATAAATTAATTAGTGAGTTAGGCGATTTTGTGAGTACTGTAAGTTAGTATATTAGTTGACAGCGCTGGTTGTTGGTGGGTCATATGCGAGTGTAACACGGGAGAGCAATGCTCTTCGTATCACATAAATTGCTGGAACCGACTACAGAAGTGACTGGTATATGCAGCGATAAGAACGTCAACAGCAGAAAAGTTAGCAGGTAGGCAGTCACTGCAAAACAACCGGTGCCCTCAACTTTCTCAAGCAGCCCCAACTTCTCTAGAAAATGTTTTCGTTACTAGACATAAGGGACCTGGAAAGGATTTGCGTGCATTCTCTTAGCAACCAAAGGAGCCAGTGAGAAACTGGGGAGCTACAGTAATGTGAAGGATCTAGCTACATGCCAGCCTTTTTGACGCAACTCCTCCATCGCTACTACTAATAGCGTTAATACTGCTGCTGCTACTTCCTCAAGAGGTTCAAACTGGTGGGGTTCCTGAGCCAGTTTACCGTTACTATCTTTCATCATTTGCATGCTTACCTCCATCGTGTTTTAAGTCCTGAGTTGTGTGTGTGCGCTTCAGGCTTACCATTATACTAACATTGCATGGTGTACATTACCTACAGTAATATATCGTTTATGTTCTCTAGTTTTGTGCTTAGACGATGAATCCAAATTAGAAGTATCAAAACTAAAAAACAAGCGAATGATACGTGGATGTAGATATATTGAGTGTTTTTCTATTTGATTTTATGTGCCATATGTGGTATATTGACCAGGTGTAGATGCCCATGTGTCAAATAATCCACTTGTCCCATTATTATAGAAAATACTAAACTAATACAGGAACTTACGATTTGACAAAATTACCGTGTGTACTTTTTAATTTTTAAAATCCCATTAATACATTATTTTACATGACATGTCTTGTGTGGTTCAATAAATTTTAACTAAGTTATTACTACCGTATAGAAACATGTTTGTCTAACGCTAAGTAGGTAGGTAGCAAGATGAGAGCATGGCTACCGTCTGCTGCACCCTATGTTGTGTGTCTAACAGTCTCTCCCTCCTTCCCTTTCTTCACAGCCCATCCGCTACATCGGCTCCAATCATAACAGTGTGGCCCGGCCCTTCCCCGGCTACACAGGCTCCCAGCCCACCTATGCACACACTGCTCGAGCTGTAACGAGCCTTCACTTTGAGTCTTCAGAAGCGCATGTCAGTGCGCCTCACAGTGGTTCCTCCTCCAGAAACACCTCTGGTAGTACTAGCCCAATCAGCTGCCACCCAATTGCTGGTACTACATTATCTTTAAACAAAGAGAATGCCAAAAATTTCCTAAAGATGACTCTTGATAAAGAAAATGTTAACACGATAAATGTTCACACACCATACAAGACGCAGAAATCGAACAGTAACGAAAATCTGTTTACAAGTCAATTCCTGAACAACGGAGCAGTTGGGGGTAGCGGTGGCCATCAGAGGAAGTACTCCTTGGCCAGCAATACTTCCAGCTGCAGTAGTGAGGCTGACCACGACTCGCTTACCCGGCGCAACAACGAAGTAAGACACCACAGGGCATTCAAATCTCCAGTTTACCTCTGGTGGTGGGAAAAAATGGCACACTGTATTTAGGTTGAGATATTTAACTTGATAGCCCTCTTGTATAATTTTTTAAAACCACTCGTATATAATACATACCTTTTAACTTTGTTGTTAAGGTTTATGGTAAGTTATTAAACTTAAACATTCTTTTTTAAAAAAATGCTGCTACTAAATTTATTAATACATTTATGGTTTTCCAAAGGTATTACCTAAGTAAGATAAATATTCTCTTGAATGATACAGATACTTTAATGCTAACTCAAACATTCCTTTAAATTCAGTTAATAGTAACAATAAAAATTTATTATTAAAGTTGGCTACAGTGCAGATGAAGGCCCTCTTCCATTCTTGAATGAATTACTGTCCCCTAAAATAGTGTGAATACTTCATTGGTTAAAAGCATCACTTTCCCTGGCCAAAGTGATTGAACCTTTGAACCTTTCCCTTAATATTGTGTTAGTATATTAAACAGAGACTGCCAATATATTTATACTTGCCTGATCCCTTATCGATCTGCCCTGGACATGTATGAGCTCCCATACCCATATTTTTTTGTGACCAATTTCGAAATTTTTTTCCTGCTCCTATAGCCTGACCCTGGGCCAAGCTTGTCTGGTGCTTTCTTGATCAACTAGGCTGAAATCAGGTCTTAATTCACTCAGGGTGGGGTCCTTGGTGTGGTGAGGGGCTGGGGCTCTTGATCCAAGGAATTGAACTTACTGTATCCAGCATTTCTTGTGGCTCGAACTTGTTTGCCACCTATTGCCCCAGGTGCTGTGTGACTTCTAATTTGTCCCCCTCCCCTTTCCTTCCCCAAGATTCTGTTAACAACCCTTAAGAGTTTAGCATTCTCCCATATATGTAATAATAATGCAAGGCTTTATAAAGTCTTCTGTTCCTATTATGGTTTTTGCACAGAGATGTGTATATAATGTATATACGTACACTCACTGTGTATTTCACAAATCTGTGTGGAGAGGGTGCCTTAATGACTGAGGGGCTATTCATTCAAGGAGCTAGATTTATCATACCATTCCTGGGATCGAACCAGAGTACCTAAAATTTTCCAGGTGATGTGACCCATATGAATTTAGCACTTCCCCTTGTTATAAAGATGCATATATTTAAGCCTCTCACATAAGATACTATACTAAGCAAATTTGCTAAATTGCTTGTAACAAATGAGTGAACTGTAGATATAAATCCAGATGTACTCCTGTTAACACTTTTAGGGCCTAGTTACTAAGCCTTTTGTGTATCCATATGCTCTTGGGCTACTGTCCACTGAATGGATATGGGGTGCACAATAAACTAGCCACTTCAGTGACAAAATCTCATCACAGAGGTCCAGTTCAGGAAACCATGAAGTGCACGAGACAAAGCTTGTATACAAAGGCTGGTCACCCACATAAATCTGGAACAAAAATAAGTTACCTTGGAAAGGGTAATCATATCAGGTCTCTAATGAGATGTTAAAATTGAGTAATGAAACTATAGCCAACTCAGTTATTAGGTCGTGGGAGATGGTGGTGTATATTTTTCTTTGAAAAGGAAAGATACACTGTAGACCTGGTAAGAGAGGCAAGAACAGTTACTTTGGGAGAGGGACTATCAAATCTTAACTCATTTGGGTCCATCTTATAATGAGGCTTCTAATTAATTGCACTCGGTACGAAATTGAATTCAGTTTGTTCAGATACTATAGACAGGAATGAACAAGAGACCTTGCAGGCTTTCCTCTGCTGATTGAGGGTGCATCTACCATTTTCTCGAGAACCCAATTAATTTTCAAAAGACTAAATTTTCAGGTGTTACAAGGTGATTTTTTAACTTTTTACAGCAGTTGCATTAACCACATGAATATTAGACAGGCATTTTATAATTGAGGAAAATTCTTTCAATTGGTAATGCTCTTGCCTCACACACTGACTATCCATGGTTCAATCTCTGGCATGGGTGGAAACTTTGTACATGTTTCCTTAAGATGCCTGTTATCTTTGTTCACCTAGCAGTAAGTAGGTACCTGGGTGTTAGTAGACTGTTGTGGGTTGCATCCTGGGGGACAGGATTGAAGGACCTAATGGAAAAAAGTCCTCAATGACTTGGGTTAACCTGGGTAGCTAATCATCCAGGTTAAAAATCCAAACAAATCTTATATTATTATTGTAACATGTAAACTTTAACCAAGCAAGGGGATACGAGCTTGAGTAAATAACTTGGGAAAGCTTAAATAACATTTAATAATGAAAAATTAGTGGAGAATATATCGTTTTGTTGCCTTTGGGAGAAGTATTAACAGATAGGTTAAATGTTGTGAGCCATTGGTTGTATTGAGAGGCGGATGGGAGTAGCTGTTATCATTCAAAACGTCAAGGAAAGGAGTTGGAGCCAAAATCAGAATTAATTGTAATTAACAATTATGCTAGGGCTTGTTGATCTTTCCAGCAAAGCAAAATACTTCGACACCTGAATGAGAAGAATGGAGACAGCCAGTGGAAATCCTTCGAAGTAATGATTTTCCTAGCTAGGGGTAGTCATACTATAATCAGTTGTTCATCTGAATTGTGTTTATTTTGGTTATAAGGAGTCTACACCGGAAAGGTACAGTATTAATATAGCAATAGATTCCAACTTATCTCGTGGGTTATGTTCCTATAAATTCCTGGTAATAAGCCTTGTTCTGCTTGTTAGTTGATGTATTGTTTATCTTTTTTTAAAACTATCATTGGCTTTGTTCCCAGACATTATATTGAGTGTGTTACTTGTAACCAAAGTTGATATTTTAGCGAGGTTAGCATTGACTGTAATTGTAAGTGCAGCCTGATCGTTCAGGATTTGAAATGACAAAAGTTGCATCAGAATTAGTTTAAGATCCCAAGGAGCATTTGAAAGGTCATTGATGTAGATTAGAAATAGCAGAGAGCCCAGGACACTACCTTGATTGATTGGCATGCTGAATAATTCAAATTCAAATTTTTATTTCTTTGCAAAGTTTACAATGTGTGATTTAAATATAAAATATTGTTAAGAACAAAGAAAGCCACTAGTATGCCTGAGCATGCTAGTGACTTAGTGCTTACAGACTACTTAAAACTAGACATAGGTTATAGAGTGGTAAATTTTAATTATTCATTATTACATTAGAACCACTTTGACAATTTTCTTCTTATTCTTTTTAGTAATCTTTACAGAAAAAGGGGTTACTAGCCCATTGTTCCCGGCATTTTAGTTGACTTTTACAACACGCATGGCTTACGGAGGAAAGATTCTTATTCCACTTCCCCATGGATATAAAAGGAAAAGTAATAAGACCAAGAACTATTAAGATAAAATCAAAGAAAACTCAGATGAGTGTGTATAAATAAACGTGTACATGTATGGGTGTGAAGCTTGGGTGGTAAATGCAGCAGCGAGGAGACGGTTGGAGGCAGTGGAGATGTCCTGTTTAAGGGCAATGTGTGGTGTAAATATTATGCAGAAAATTCGGAGTGTGGAAATTAGGAGAAGGTGTGGAGTTAATAAAAGTATTAGTCAGAGGGCAGAAGAGGGGTTGTTGAGGTGGTTTGGTCATTTAGAGAGAATGGATCAAAGTAGAATGACATGGAAAGCATATAATATCTATAGGGGAAGGAAGGGGGGTAGGGGTCGTCCTCGAAAGGGTTGGAGAGAGGGGGTAAAGGAGGTTTTGTGGGCAAGGGGCTTGGACTTCCAGCAAGCGTGCGTGAGCGTGTTAGATAGGAGTGAATGGAGACGAATGGTACTTGGGACCTGACGATCTGTTGGAGTGTGAGCAGGGTAATATTTAGTGAAGGGATTCAGGGAAACCGGTTATTTTTCATATAGTCGGACTTGAGTCCTGGAAATGGGAAGTACAATGCCTGCACTTTAAAGGAGGGGTTTGGGATATTGGCAGTTTGGAGGGATATGTTGTGTATCTTTATATGTGTATGCTTCTAGACTGTTGTATTCTGAGCACCTCTGCAAAAACAGTGATAATGTGCGAGTGTGGTGAAAGTGTTGAATGATGATGAAAGTATTTTCTTTTTGGGGATTTTCTTTCTTTTTTTGGGTCACCCTGCCTCGGTGGGAGACGGCCGACTTGTTAAAAAAAAAAAAAAACATTAGAACCAAAAATTTTATAATATTTTTAGTAGAGAGGTAGCAAAAAACAAACAACAATATTACAACTAGTACAGTTTGCAGTGTTACAATAGTACAATTTTAAACATGTATTAATATTTTTGATTGATCTAGCAGTCCTAAGTTTAGGATTTCTTGAGTAGTTTCAAACTGGTTTAATGATTTAGTATATTGTAGGTATAGTTAAGTTTGGGAGATAAGATGTTTTTTAATTATTGCTGTAAATTGATTGGTATACAGAGGACCTTCTGCTGGTGTGGGCAATGAATTCCTGATCTTGGGCCCTTCATGGGCATTGCATTTTTGCATAGGGAGAGACAGACATGAAGGATGTCGAAGAATGTTTTGTGGCTTGTACCTGTGTGTTCTCTTGTAGCTATGAAGAAGTTTGAGAGGAGGGTTTGTATTTTGAGTTTAATGTTCTATAAATATACACAGGCACAGTAATGCGAGTGCATTTTTTGTACAGTATATTAAGTTCAAACTCGTGAAGAGTGGTGGGGTGTGTTGTCGCAAGAATTGGTGATCGTCCCCACAGCAGGTTTTTGTTGAGTTTTTAATGGTTTTAGGTAATTGCTCATGGTAGATCTCCAAGCACAGATACTATAGGTGAGGAAGGGTTGATTAGAGAGTAGTATAGTATAAGTAGTGTTTGGGGTTCATAGTGCTGTATCTTGGAAAGGATGCCTACTGTTTTGGATACTTTCTTGGCCAAGTGTTGGATGTCAGTCTGAAATTTAAGGTTGCAGTCAAGGTGTAGCCCTAAAAATTTGCCCTCAGTGTGTTGTAATAGGGGAACTATTAATCAATATGTTAAG